GGTTTAGTCTCTGAACTAAATGTCCTACCTGTGAATCCAGTGGTTTAGTATCTGAACTAAATGTCCTACCTGTGAATCCAGTGGTCTAGTCTCTGAACTAAATGGTCTACATGTGGATCTAGTGGTTTAGTCTCTGAACTAAATGGTCTACATGTGGATCCAGTGGTCTAGTCTCTGAACTAAATGGCCTACATGTGGATCTAGTGGTTTAGTCTCTGAACTAAATGGTCTACATGTGGATCTAGTGGTTTAGTCTCTGAACTAAATGTCCTACCTGTGAATCCAGTGGTTTAGTATCTGAACTAAATGTCCTACATGTGGATCTAGTGGTTTAGTCTCTGAACTAAATGGCCTACATGAGGATCTAGTGGTTTAGTATCTGAACTAAATGGCCTACATGAGGATCCAGTGGTCTAGTCTCTGAACTAAATGTCCTACCTGTGAATCCAGTGGTCTAGTCTCTGAACTAAATGTTCTACCTGTGAATCCAGTGGTTTAGTCTCTGAACTAAATGTCCTACCTGTGAATCCAGTGGTCTAGTCTCTGAACTAAATGTTCTACATGTGGATCCAGTGGTCTAGTCTCTGAACTAAATGTCCTACCTGTGAATCCAGTGGTTTAGTCTCTGAACTAAATGTCCTACATGTGGATCTAGTGGTTTAGTCTCTGAACTAAATGGTCTACATGTGGATCCAGTGGTCTAGTCTCTGAACTAAATGGCCTACATGTGGATCTAGTGGTTTAGTCTCTGAACTAAATTTTCTACATGTGGATCCAGTGGTCTAGTCTCTGAACTAAATGTCCTATCTGCAGATCCAGTGGTCTAGTCTCTGAACCAAGTGTTTTTACCCATGAATCTAATGGAGCTTCATTTGCAGTTAATTCAATATTAATAAAATATGTAATATTAATCCCAAACTAATTTTTTTACAGTCGGCAAAAGAGAAATTTCTGTGGTATAAAGTAGAGGTATGGTTTACACTATTATTTTACAGCTACATTATAAGTAGGTGCTCATAATACTAATACAAGCATAACATGCACAACTCCAAAGTACGATGCAATACATAATAGATCAAAAATGCATATCACTTAGATTGACCTTACATTCAGCTGAAAATTTTTTGCATTCACTTCTCACTTTCCTATTCCAAAATCAACTGAATTTAATCCCAGTGAATTGGAGTAACTATCTATAGAAACACCATACAGCGTACATAAGATGTCGTGCTAAATCACCATTAGTTGTACTGGTACTTTCAACATTCTCGTTTTTTGACTGTGGAAATATGCATGTGGTACATATATGTGGATATTTTTACTTAGATAAATATTATATTAAAAAACACTGATGGTAATTACTCATCTCTGTTGACGTAAACGTAAGAGAAAATATCGTTGCATTACATATAAATATTTGACGTATATTTCGTGAATAATTATCTGTGAACATTTCAATTCATTCATTTGAAGTCTTTCACAAACACAGGTTTCTTCTTGAATATAATGTCAACTGACTGATATAATCATGAAAATAGACTTTCTTTTAATTACTGTAGGGATGAGTTCATTTGAAATTAACAACTTTTATGCAATAAAACATTTATAATAACAACTTGCTCAAAGCATGCAAAATTGAGTAGAATAGTGGCAACGGCAGTAGTGTGGTGGGTCCTCATTGCTTGCTGAAAGCATGCAAAATTGAGTAGAATAGTGGCAATGGCAGGAGTGTGGTGGGTCCTCATCGCTTGCTGAAAGCATGCAAAATTGAGTAGAATAGTGGCAACGGTAGGAGTGTGGTGGGTCCTCATTGCTTGCTGAAAGCATGCAAAATTGAGTAGAATAATGGCAACGGCAGGAGTGTGGTGGGGCCTCATCGCTTGCTGAAAGCATGCAAAATTG